AGGTAACCCAGTCACAAAAAGACAAACATGGTGTGTACTCACTCATACATGAATATTAGACATAGAGCAAAGGATCACCAGCTTACAATCCTGTTCACCAAAGGAACTAGGAATCAAGAAGGCCTCTAAGAGAAAAACGCATGAACCTTGGGGTATGGGACGGAGCAGTATCTTCTGAGATAATTGGGAGCATGAAGAGCCATCATCCAGTATCTGATGGAAGCAGAGGCAGACACCCACAGCTATACCAGTGTATAATTGAACCTGGAACCCAGTTGCAGAGAGGGAAGAATGAAGATCAGAGTGGTCAGGACCAGGCTGATGAAACCCACAGAAACAGCTAACCTGAACAAGGGAGAGCAATGAACCCCCAGACTGCTATCTGGGAGGACTGCACAGGAATGATCCAGACCCCTGAACGTCAATGTCAATGAGGAGTTCTCAGAACTCTATGGGCTCCCAGGTAGTGGATCAGAATTTTTCCCTGGTGTAAGAAGGGACTTTGGGATCCCATCCAACATGAAGAGATGCTCTGTCGGCTGGACACATGGGAGAGTACCCAGGATGATGTGGTGGACTTTGGGGAGTCCCCATGGAAGGCCCTACCCTCCCTGGGGAGCGGAGGCAGGATGTGTTGGAGGGATGGTGGGGGGGCCGGGGGAAGGGAGGGAGAGGGGGAAGGATTGACATATGAAGCAAGCTTGTTCCTAATTTGAACTAATAAAAAAATATAAAAAAAATTGATCAGTGTTCACAACCAGTGCACCAGCTGCCTCTTGCTTGCCGACCTCCAGCTGACGGAGAAGGTGGGTAAGTAAGGAGGTGCTCTTACCATGGCTAGTACCAAGCAGACTGCCCGCAAATACATCGGTGGTAAAGCACCCAGGAAACACTTGCTACAAAAGCCACATGCAAGTGTGCGTCCTCTACTGGAGGGGTGAAAAGACATCATCATTACAGGCCTGGTACTGTGGCACTCAGTGAAAACAGAAGCTTTCAGAAATCCACTGAACTTCTGTTTCGCAAGCTCCCTTTCCAGCGTCTGGTTCGAGAAATAGCTCATGACTTCAAAACAGATCTGCACTTTCAGAGTGCAGCTATTAGTGCTTTGTAGGAGGCAAGAGAGGCCTATCTGGTTGGCCTTTTTGAAGATACCAACCTGTGTGCTATCCATGCCAAACGTGTAAAACTTACGCCAAAAGATATCCAGCTAGCATGCAGAGAACGTGCTTAAGAATCCACTATGAGGGGAAACATTTCATTCTCAAAATTTTTTTTCCTCTTCCTGTTATCAGTAGTTCTGAATGTTAGTTATTTTTTCCATGGGGTCAAAAGGTACCTAAGTATATGATTGCGAGTGGAAAAATAGGGGAGAGAAATCAGGTATTGGTAGTTTTTCCATTTTCATTTGTGTATAAATTTTTAATATAAATGCAAGATGTAAAGCATTAATGCAAGCAAAATGTTTGAGTGAACACATTTCAACAGTTCAACTTTATAACAATTATAAATAAACCTGTTAAAATTTTCTGGACAATGCCAGCATTTGGATTTTTTTTAAATAAATAAATTTCTTATTGATGGCAACTAAATGGTGTTTGTAGCATTTTTATCATACAATGAATGAATCCAGCCATTCACTATACTTTTCTGAGTTGTCCTACATGCAAGTACATGTTTTCAATGTTGTCTGTCTTCTTTGCTGTTCCTGTAAGTTTGCTATTAAAATACATTAAACTATAAAAAAATTGAACAAGCTTTCCTCTTTTATTGCTTCCTTTTTAATGTTAACTTAAAATAATACGAAATAGAGCTCTCTGTGTCTTTCCTATGGATTGAAACGAGGGACTGCTTCAGCCTGCCTATCTGCTACCACCGCCCCTCCCCCACAATGGTCATAGATGCTAACCTTCTGGAACCCGGAAGTGACATAAGATGTACAGGAAGTCCCTCCAACCACGGCGTGGGCTGTTGCGAAGAGTCGGATTTGTAAACCCCAGAGGTTCTACTCCGCCGCCTGCGGCCGCTATGGACACTCCCTGGGGAACTGATCCATTGGTCGCTGTGTCTAACGAAGAGGCAAAACCTTCAAGTGAGGTTCTCGAGGATAAGAAGGAAGAAGTTATTAAAATCAAAGTGATTGCACAAGATGGCAATGAGATACACTTCAAAGTGAAAATGACAACGCAACTCAAGAAACTCAAAGAAACATACTGTCAAAGACAGGGCGTCCCATCCAATTCCCTGAAGTTTCTCTTTGAAGGCCAGAGAATTGCTGATACCCACACTCCAGAAGAGCTGGAGATGGAGGAGGAAGATATGATTGAAGTTTATCAGGAACAAACGGGAGGCCATTCAACGGTTTAGATCTTCTTCGTAATTCTTTCCCCTCAATAGTGTTCTATTTTTCTTAAGGTTCTTTTGTAATGTGGAATTAGAAGTGAAAACTGAATGCTGACATTCCATCTCTAGAACATCTGGCAATCTGAATTCTAGCGATCAATAGTCATTACTGGCGGTTTTCATTGTGCTGATTTTGGTGATCAGACCTCAGCTTCCTTTATATTGCCCTCTTCTAAACTTCATTTGTGCCCGTCGATGCCACCCTTCTCAGAGCCAGCTGGAGCTTTCCCATACCAGCCAATCGGTCAGGAATTCCAGCATGTGGCTGCTTCACCCCGGGCCTGTGATGATCAGCACAAGATGGAAGTTGTCAGGGAACTGGACTGTGGAAAACAACCTCTCCTCAGCTTGAAGCTGCTACTAAGACCTGAAGATCTGGACCAAGAGCAAGATACCAGATTTGGAGTCAAGAGGACAGATCCAGTGAGAACTCAATCTCGACGCTTTCTCTTCAATGAAGCTATCTTTGCCAGTCTTGTCAGACGAGCCCAGATATGTTCTAATTTTCATCAGCAGTTTATAATAAAGGTATTCATGCAAAGAATAATATAACACTTTGACTTATTGAAAACGATGTCTCTACTATTACAGCAAACATCACGGTGTTTGATGTCAAACTTTAACAAATAAGTTCTGTAAAATTTGCTTCACATTTTTAGAACCAAGGTGTTTCACATATAAAATTAAGCTCCCAGTCTGGTCTCATTCCTCTCCTTTCTCTTTTGCTTTTCTTTCGTCTTAAAAAATATTTATTTTGTTACTTTTAATCATGTATATGTTAATATGAGCACAGTGCCCGTAGAAGCCAGAGGTGCCTGATTTCCCTGGAACTGGAGTTATAGGTGGTTGTGAATAACTTAACATGGGTACATAGAACCAAATATCAAGTACTTACTGTGTGCTCTTACTACCGAGTTATCTTTCCAGCTCCTCTTC